GGAGAGAGCAGCATGTGGCGTGACGGCGACTCCGTGAGGCTGCAGCCGGCCAGTGCTTCAAACGCACCCCCCCATCTGCAGCCCGTCTCTCTGACCTCAATTTGGCTGCAGCCCCCGCTATTCAAACCAGCCATCCCCTTCTGAAGAACCACTTATGGTTCATTTGGCCGTCAAACTGGTCTGCGATGTCCCTGCCGACTCGCGGCATTTAACGAAGCCCATTAATTGCTTCCTTTTGGGGGCTGAAAGGATTCGATTTAGAGGGGATGATGAAGAGGCCATGAAGCTGACTCTAAAGTCGGGACGGGGCAAGCGAGCCCGCGAGGATGGATCCTCCTCCGGAATGAAGCGACCGAGACCTTTGTGGACAGAGAAGGGCGAGCTGGGGGTGGGGGGGTAATCACTCATGGAATGTGACTTTCGGGAGATCCTGCCAGGCTGGTGACTGTTGCAGAAGCACTGGATAAGACATGTGGGGAGCTGATGGGCCGGAGGGGGCGGGGCGGGGGGAGGCGTCGACAGAGCTCCGCAGAGCTGTTTATGTTTTCCATCGCTGTCAAGGAAGCCTGACTCATTTACCGAAAGCCGCAAAGCGACCAGCGCAGCAAACAGCCCAACTGGCCGGAAAACACGACCCGGCTCCTCTGGCTGCATGTGGCTGCACTGCCAAACTCTGCCATGTCTTATTAGGCCCCTTGCCCCGCAGAATCCAAATGCCGTCCACTCTGGTGAGGATAAACCTTCTCGAGATACATTCCTTCGACCCCTTTCAAATACTGCAGCTGCTGTTGGCTTTACCACCGAGAAAATGTCTCAGGATTGCTTTAGAGCAGTGTTTCCCAATCCGATCCCTCAGGGACCCACAGGCAGTCCACGTTTCTGCTCCCTCCTGGGCTCCCGGCAGGGAGCAAAAATATGAACTGTCTGGGAGGGAGCTGGGAGGGAGCAAAAATGTGAACTGTCTGGGAGGGAGCAAAAATGTGAACTGGCTGGGAGGGAGCTGGGAGGGAGCAAAAATGNAGCAAAAATGTGAACTGTCTGGGAGGGAGCAAAAATGTGAACTGGCTGGGAGGGAGCTGGGAGGGAGCAAAAATGTGAACTGTCTGGGAGGGAGCTGGGAGGGAGCAAAAATGTGAACTGGCTGGGAGGGAGCTGGGAGGGAGCAAAACTATGGGCCGTCGGTGGGTCCCCGAGGACCGGGTGGAGAAACACTGCTTCAGAGCATGAGTATAAACATTATGAACATACTTTCCAAAGGAGTTATTTTCGATTAGCTAGAATGACTTCAGATGTGGAAGGAAAGAGGCAAAGTGTCACACTACGCTCCAATGACGCATTAATTCATTGCTGAAAAAGTCGTTCATGTCACACATGAAGCGTCTTACCTTCGCACTTACAGGAACACAGAGAAATCTGGGCCGTGGGACCTTTCGCCTTTCCAGCTCTCTGCCCTGCCAAAAAGCAGCCAGCAGAGAGGGTAGCCCCGCACCGTTAAACCCCCCAATGCCGCTACTGGTGTCAGTCGGTGTGCCAAAGGCACCTCTCTCAAAAGACCCCCAGTCAGACGTCTTAGTCAAAGTCTGGGGGACAGAAGGCCAACTCTGTGGTATCAGCCTTGCGGCTGGGTCTCAAAGAACATGATGAACAGGGCATGACGAAGGCGTATCGAGCCCAGAGGAAGCCAACTAGCAGCTCTCTTATTAAACAGCCCACATTTAAACTAAAGACATTAAATCTTGGATTCATGTAAGAGCACTGCTCGGTATCCAGCATAGCATGCAGCAAATACAAAAATAAATGTTTAAATACAAAGAAAAAGCTCATTTCAGATTTCTGCCTCTTCATTCTGACGTTCCGCGAAGTTGCAGATTTAATCCATAACCATAATCCACAAATAGCTACATAGCTTAGTTTGCATATTTCTCCAACATTGTTTGGGCAATCTTAGAAAAACAGGTACACAAATACAAAAAAAAAAAAAAAACTGTGAATGTTCCAAACATTTTACGCAAGTCAACAAGCGAGTTTAATTTTCCCCCATGATAAAAGACATAGCCTGTTGCCTGCTACGGAGGTTAGAGGTGATTAGTTCGCATTAGGGCGGTGGGGCTGCCCTATGTCTGGTCAGGATGATGCATATATCTGCTGTTGTTTTAGCTGCAAGGTGACTCTGCATTTATCATATGCATTCAAGACAGTCAAAATACAAGCAAACACTGGTCCCCAGTACATCTAATATTTCTAGCCAAAAATGCATACGGTGTTATAAAAAACACCATGAATGAAACATTTCTATTTTTATTTCAAGAGGACAGCCAGAGAAGGTGATTTTCATTATGCATATCGATCTTGCGAATCAAACCTTCAGACACTCTGGCAAAAAGTACTCTTCCTGCATTTAAAGCCAGCCCCACCTTAACCTAAAAATAAGAAAAAAAAACTAATAAACATTGTAATCTTCGAAAAGCTTGAAGATCACAATCTTTGAAACAATTATAAGCTACCGACAAGGCTGAGTAAAAACGTTTCCATTGACACAAACATAAATGTAGCTGCAGCTCTGTTTTGAGAAGTCAAAAGTGCACCGTTACTAAGTTTCACTCTATGAATTAGTGTTCAGTTTACTTAATGTGCATTACTGAAAAATGGGTTACTTCTAAAGATGCCAGCAATTACCCTCTTTTGGTTAGAATAGCCTCACAAACTGTAACTTTGTTTCGAAAGAGCTTGCCAGATTATCATCATGACGGCGATGATCATAACGGACACCTACTCAAGATGGGAAGTGCAATGGAGACTGATTTCCCCTTTGATATAAAAAGTTCCGACTCAGGCTGAATAAAACCGAAACTGAGAATTTTACAAAGTTTGATCCGAAAGCTCTCATTCTTTTCAAGCACCACGCAGCGTCTCATATGGGTTTCACAATTTCTCAAAATGCTGAAATAGTCACCCTATGACAGCATCCATGCTGCATTGTGGAGAAAGTCCGGGACAAGCCCGCAGAAGGAGGTCATTAACGGGGTCTGCAGCGCCAAAAAGCAGGGTCAGGATGGGTGTTTCATTGGGTATTTTGAAAAACCCAACACACACAAGGGCAGTGTCTAAATTCAGGCCTGCATCCTTCAAAGGATGTGGTCTACGAAGGTGTAGTCTTTGTAGCTGCGTTCTTCGATGGTGCTGTCAAATGAGACGGTCTGGCCCACAGATAATTTCCTATTTGCGTCACCAGCTGTCCCCCCCCCTTACCCTTGAGTCACGAAGTGCCGCTCCGGTCGCCTGGCTGGGACACGCCCACTTTACCTCTGCGCAGTGAATCTTGGGATATTCCAGGCTGCAAAGAATCCGTCAGGTGTATCCTTTGCAACATTGCAAAAGGAGGACACATTTGCAGACCGAATTTGAAGGACCCTTCCAAAAGGGACACCACGGTGACGCAAACAGCCTTCAAATGTAGCCTGAGATAGATGCAGCTCCTGAAGGAAAAACGTCACTGCAGCAGAAGCTTAGGATTTCGGTATTCTACACAGCTGGGTGTGGAACTGCATCCCATCACAGAGTGAGAGAGACAGGTGAGGGAATCCAAGATATCAATCACTATGTTGATTGCCTGCCATTTCCACGGAAACATGAGGAGAACTCACTCAATCTCATACCCATCGCTCCCTCTCTCTGCATGTTCCCTCATGACTATGTGCTGCAGCCACGCTCCGGATCCATCTGGAAAACGTGTTGGAAAGATGACACTCGCTCTTCGTGGCAAGCCTAGCGGCAGCACACGTAGCCAGGGGGGGTGATGAGGCGGGCTGTCCGCAGGACGGCAGCTGGGTGACACACCGAACGGGCAGGAATCCTTTATTCCGTGGGCGCCTGCCTCACCCCAAAACGGGGTGATGCCGTCGACCTAATGAAACGGGCCCTTTTGGGTCTAAGACCTCCACACAGCCCGAGTCTCTCTCCAAAAGGCCACAGCTCCTTCCAGAACTCGGTACGGCATACCTTCCTCGGCACAGAGGTGGGTAGAGGATTCAGTGCTGCTCCAGGCACTTAGGGGCATGAAAAGCAGAGCATCTGAATACCAGAAGCAGGCGCCGTTAGCCAGAGGCACACGGGGAAGTCCTGGTCAGTGACCCACGCAGCCAGCAGGCAGCACAGCGGCCCGGGCGGCTTGGCTGATGGAGGGAGACTCCGACGGGCGCCAGCTGGCAGCTCCACGCACAGAGCTAAAGCCGACCTTTATGAGTCACAGGATGTGCACGCCTTCCAGAATAACAGACAAAGGCAGGACGAGAACCCGAACGGCTAAGCTCTGCTCCCGGAGTCCTGTCTGCCGGCTACCCACCGCGATGCCGCTCGCTCGCGGGGTCTCAGACAGCCCTCCCACAAAGAAGGCTTTTCCACCCATAATGCATTGCCCTCCCGCCTCCTTCCATATCACCAACATCTGCAACACCTCACACACACCAGCGTGCCACCCCACACCCCCACGGAGATGCCGGACCCTCCCAGGAACGTCACATCCTGTACATACGGGAGGCTCATCCATAGAATCTGAGCGCAACTGGCGCTAAACACAAAGTTATTCCAGAACATTCCCCAGCCAATGAATATTTCAGTACTTAAGTAAGTCAAAGGAACGACAACAGTATTATTGAGCGACGCATGATAAGACGTGTATTGCTGTGGCATTACTAAACAATACTTTATGAAGGATAACACTTCTACGCACCGATAAAACACGTCCACAGCAGACGGCACTAGCAGGGTAGCAGTGAGGTGCAGTTGTGACACTCAGACCACAGAGCCCCCAACACGAGGCATCTTATGCCGTCTGTGAAGTCAAAGCAGGACCCCTGCATTGTCTGGGGTGGGGAGGCATCAAGCCACATTTATGGAAAGAACGCCTCCTTCTTTCAATGCTTTGCTGCATATTTTATACGCATGGGACAGGAAATATGAAACAGGCAGGATGAGAAGCCGATTCGAGCCAAGGAGGGGGTTAGTGCGAAGCATTTTATTAGCAAGAAAACATAAGGAAGTTCTCAAATAAGACAGTGCCGGACTCCATGGAGGAGAGCTGAGTTGGCAAATCGTTCTCCTCTCCCTCTCCAACTGCAGCCGCGATCAGCCTCCTTATGGCGGTGCCTTCATTAGCCGCCAGTTGTGACACATGGGGTCGCCGTGCAACGACGCCACAAACAGCTGTCGGTTACGGGTACGGCGCCGACCCCCTGCAGTCATGCCATCACGCAGTTCGAAAAAAATAATGCAAAACTACATGATAACACACAGCAACTACATACAATGTGAGCAACTGTGACTAGACAGCGGTATCCACGCCACTAACAGGGATTTTCCCATCAGCTTTTAAATCACTGAGGAAATTAAGGCAAGAGATCAGTTAGAAACACAGATTCTACGGTTTACTTAAAAGAAAAATATTTTGACCATTTTAGCAACAGGTTTCCCCTACTTTACGAAAGTAGAGCGTTCTTATGAAACCTTCCCTAAGTCTATATGGCGGAAAGCGAGGAAGCAATTACCGTAAATTTCTGAGCATTCCCAGGTCGAAAAAATAACCAACCAAATAAGACATGAAACCTAGAATAAGATATAGGCTACATACAGTAAAACCAGGAATGCTATGATAAATATACAGCCTATATAAAGTAGAAATAATGTATATACAGTGAGGTTTCACTTACCAGAATCAATAGTCATTTGTCGCTTAACAACATAGATGCGTTCTGTGAAATGCGTCATTTTCGTCATTGTCGGAGTGAACTTACACAAGCCCAGATGATATAGCCTGGTAAAGGTAAAGCCTAAATAAGGACAGAAAGTACAGTACAGTGAATGCAAAAAGCAAGCAACCTAGTTGTTTATTATCAAGTATTATGCAAGCCACATAATTGTGTGCTATACTTTTACACCACTGCCAGCGCAGAACCTTCGTGTTTGAGTAATGCTTTGCGTTATTATGTTATAACGGCTACGACTGATTTTTTTCAGCTCCATTATAATTTTATGGGACCACCGTCATATATGTGGCCCGTTGTTGACCGAAACGTCGATATGTGGCATTTGACTATATAACTATAACGGGCTTGCCGATAAACAAATGATAAATACTATTTTTGGTATTCTCCTTTTTTCATAAAAGCGAAAGTCCCCGTGATTTTTTTCAGTTAGGGAAAACAGGAGCAATTGTAGGTCTTTCGAGAAAAAAAATGAAGTGGTTTAAAGTGACGGTTCGTAAAGCGGGGCATTGTGTATTGACAATGATCAGTGTTTTGAGCCACACAACAGCTGATGCACAAAGCAGCTTCTTTTTACGTGCCGGAATCTTATATTTACACGTGCGAAACGAACCGCAGCTTTTTCCTGTCAGTGCAGCCGATTTAAAAAGCAGGTGAGTGCAGCACACCTCCCCCTGTCGGGAAAAAAAATGTTCTGCTGAACTTGACCTTAAATTACCCTTTCCTCCATTCCACTCTTCCCTAAATTTATCTCGCCGGAGCAGCAGAGCGCATTCCAGCGCCCGCGCGCTCACTGAACATGCGCGCGCGGGCGACTGCGGCGCACCAGCTCTCTGAACGCCCGCGCACGCGCCCCCGCGTCCACTGGCCGGGCGCTAACATGCACGCTGGCACGCAGCGGGGACACAGGGCAGCCTGGACTACATGGATAACAGGATACGCGGAGTGGCCCAAAGAAGAGGGACAGGCAAGGGAAGGGTTGGGGGTGGCTGCACATGTGCCTCCTGCAGTTCAGAAACAAGTTAGAACTAGTAAACAATCTTTGTTTATGGTGTCAAAATAAGAAGTCACATGACCAGGCAAAATAACGGCACCCTGACACATCCCCATGCATACCGCTATGGAGAATATCAAAATTCAGATAACTGAATAATCTGCCTTTGTTGGTCATTTCCTGCGATTGACCATTAGCTAAGAATGCAGCACCGCGGAAGCCCTTGACGTGGCCCCCGCCAACCTGCGAGCAGAAATCACGAAGGCGCGGGACAGCGTGCAGCTGAGACTGAGCATGCCACCTCATCCTCGGGGGAGGGGGGGGGACACTGCTTGGTTTGTACAACCAGGAGAAAGCAGGGGGAGCAAGGACAGAAAACTCCTTGTGTAGGACAGTGTGGCCTGTGCCTTTAAGAGCAAATGCTGACTGGTTGCAGCTCCCCCCCACCCACTCCCCTTGCCCCCCCCCCAGTCTGCTGGCCACCTCCCACTCGCTTTGGTCTGAGTGAAAGTGGAAAGCCACAGCTCTTTATCTGAGCATTTGCGGCTGGGGACCAGGTCAGGTGACAGGGAATGTGCCACCCTGACCCAGACGTCTGGGGGGTGAAGGTCACTGCGAGAAGACAGGGACAGCAGGAGGGGCAATATCCACGGATCCACTTACGTCTGGATACACACCACATTCGTTTGCAAACAAGCAGCAAACGGATCCAGTCAAAACAGCCATATCAGCTCCCCTGTTTTGTAAACATGATTCTTTACCATGAATAACATGATTCCAAATCACATGTATTAAAGATGAGGCACACCAAACAAAAATCATTTAACGTCGACAGAAAAATGTTTTTCTGAATGGGGGCATGGTGATCGTTCTCATGCCATCATGAGAAAAGCAAAACAGGTCCAAGAATCCCATTGATGACATGGCACCTTTATAAATGAGGACTCTGTTTTATACAATTACATGACACGTGCAAAACTGCAAAAACAGACATACTCGTCATAGAGGCGGGGCCCCGGCTTCTTGTGGAACAAGGACAACATATCCATCAAGAGATTAGCTAAATGAGAGTAAAGGCACCAAAAATTACTCTAAAATAACACAATAAAATTCAAAGGTTCTGTATCAGCGGCTGAGGCTTACTGGACACAGTACTGATGGCAGAACAGTGAGTCATTCTAACCATCGCACTGTAAACACCACCCCCTCCAGACTTTTTATCACTTCGACAGACCAACTGCTTAACAAGACATACACAATTTACCTTTAAATGACTTAGGAGATGCTCACAGCCACAGTCGTGCTCTGGGCCAGAGTGGCAGTGGAAGGAGGAATTCACACGGCCACTCAGAAACACACACCTACACAAACACGTTTATACACATGGCCAGCTCTCACTATTTCACACACACACACACACAGTTCTGCTGTGCAATGATGTCCCAGCACATGTCAATACAATGTCAGGATTTTGGGCAAAGCCGTGCAGCCCTGGCCGTGCACAGCTCGCACATGCTCATTCCTCCCTCTTCCATTCTGCTCCTCTGGCTCCCCCCCAGCCCAGGAAGTGCAGCACGGAGGCACGTGTAGCGTTACAGCAGGGCTCACTGTGATCAGGTGCATCTACATACGCTTCACTGTAAGAACAGCATCCTGTTACCAGCAGAAACCTCCTTTCTGATGGTGTCCTTACATCTACGAAAAAGGCTTGAGAGAAGGTGCTTTCAGAGTAGCACTGTGACAATGGGGCATGGAAAGCTGGACATACAGACCAGAACAGTGAAGATGGACACATAGAACGAGGATTTGGGAAGATAGATACACAGATTGCGGACCTGGGAAGATGGACACACGGAATGAGGACCTGGGAAGATGGACACACAGAATGAAGATACACAAAATGAGAACGCCATGGCATCAGTCCTGATAGGCGTGGAGCAGGCTGAGCTTCTGGACCAGCTGGCATTCTGGACCCTGCTCATTTAAAATGATTTACAGTGTCAGGGCTTGGCTCCAGTCGATTCTTTCTCTCCCAAGTAAAGCCGGCACTCTGCTGAGCTCCGTGCCTCTCTGGCTCTGACAATAAAACGCTTGTTTAAAAAGGTCACTCAACAGAGTGTGCGAGCTGCAGCAGGATGTGCCTTTATAATGTACCCCCAGACTGGCATTACCATAAGCCAAGTCAGCACCTCGGTGGAAAGGCAGGAAAACAGAGGAGCTGCAGACACCGGCAGACACATGACCGCACTCGGAATGAAAAACCGATGTCAAGACCCAAACGATGCATGACGTTCTCCAGCTACGTGACCCCTGAGGTGCTTGGTCTGTGGTCCCCACCGCCCCACCTGGGTGCATTTACAGGATACGTAAACCGTAAGCTAACAAATAAACATGTTTACCGATCCGTCGCACAGATGGCCATTTATTTATGAAACCCCTCTGCAAGTAAACACATTTTGACAAAAATCAGTAGAACCATTGAGTTTCGGTTTGACTTCCTGCTGCCAGTCAGAGTTGCTCCCGTAACTGCTTTAGCTAGCCGCTACTCAAGAGCTATTTCCGAAGGACAATCAGCCAGGTCTCGCTGGCCCGCTGCACTTGATGCACGAGGCAGCACTTGACATGGGACCCACATGCCAGACATTATCTGGTTTCCAGCTTTAAACCTACGTGCCCCACACTGCAGTGGTAGCCCCATAACGACACCCACCTCTTTCCCGGACGAAGTAGGCCAGATAGAGGTCGAGCTCCTTGACGGAGACGCCGATGTGGTGAGGCTGGACGCAGAGCACGGGGTTGGTGCACTGGCCGCCTTTCACCAGCCGCTCGCCGTCCGTGCTCTCCAGAGGGATGCCCTTGAAGAGGATCACCATCACCAGGTCCAGCCGCCACACCTTGTCGGCCTGCCGCAGGCAGTCGATCCGCCGCATCTTGCCCTTCTGGTCGGGGTTGGAGAGCACGCAGGAGGCCGGCTTCTTGCCCGTGATGGTCAGCACGAAGTCCTCGCGGCACTCGGGCCGAATGTCCTTGCGCAGTTTGGCCAGCAGCCGGGACGCCCACTTCTGCTTGACCTCGGCCTTCTCGCCCAGCAGCTCGTCCTTGACCGCGCGCTCCTCGTCCTTGGTCATCCGCTTCTCGTGCTTCTTGAAGTACTTGCGCTTGCGCGCCTGCAGGTTGAACCAGGTGTAGGCGAAGGCGCGCACATACGGCAGGAGGGCCTCAATGAACGGATGGAACTCATCCTGGCGGAGAAACAACGAAGCGGAACACCAGGGTTAGCATACCGACACACATGTGCCTGGGGGTACCCGCCTCCCAGTCACGTCTCTCTGGGCCAAATCTCTATGCTAAGATGCTAAGACCTTTTGCGCTGCCATCCACAATACAATGTCAGGAAACGCCACACATAAATCACTTGCTAATTAAACTCGATGATAACTTTTTCAGTTGCTGCGGTTTAACATTTCAACACCATACAGTATATATATATAAATGTGTGTGTGTGTGCGTGTGTGTGTAAGCCTTTACAGAGTCCCTGCACCACAGCCGCGTGGCTGTTTGAAGGCCAGCTGCTTGGTGACATTTCATCGGTGTCGCTAATTGCTTCCATACCTTCACATCACTTTCCCGTCTTAAAGCTCCCCTAATCCCCAGTAACTGCGGCCCTATAACTGTCAGGAACAATGACATACCCCATTTAATGCGCGTGGCTCACAGGAGTAAACATGCACTCTCTCCCAGTTCTGTATAGAAAACAAAAACACAATGTTTTTTAACAAAAAAAATAACAAAAAAAAGACAGAAAGCAGTGTGTGCTTTTACTTCCACGCTGTTTTACCTTCCTACCTGTGGCTACTCTAGTAAGTGTACCAACCTAATCCAACACCTGACAGTACTTATGTACTACAATGGCAGTGCTATAAACAAATATATGTAAATACTCAGATGTTTGAGCTTTAACGTTGGTCAGAGGAGGAAACGTGCCAGGAATGGCCCATTAATGAATAATGACTGGTGAAACTGACTCCACTGAGGGGGTCCCGTGTTACCCAACGCCAACCGCTAGCCAAGGCTGCTGGAGAGAGAGACTGAGAGTGACTACGGCTCCCTTCGTCTCATATACGACAAGCACAACATTTTAACTGATTCCAGCTGCCCCGACCGTGAGCCGCTCGCTAGAAACAAACAACACGCCTTTAGATGTGTGTTTAAAAAGCCCACTCATTCCGCAGCAAAGGATCACACAGAGTAAGGGCTTTTGCTCATTAACGTGCGCCTGAGTCTGTTCTTCATAAAGCAGCGCTAATTATCACACGCTACATACTTCCCGCTTTTCTTTTTTCTGTAATGTTCTCCCACAATCAGAAAGTTACATCAATGCCCTGACATCACATTAAAGGTAGTACTCATCCAAAAATGCCCTGACATCACATTAAAGGTAGTACTCATCCAAAAATGCCCTGACATCACGTTAAAGGTAGTACTCATCCAAAAATGCCGTGATATCACGTTAAAGGTAGTATTCACCCAAAAATGCCCTGACATCACGTTAAAGGTAGTACTCACCCAAAAATGCCCTGACATCATGTTAAAGGGAGTACTCACCCAAAAAATACCCTGACATCACATTAAAGGTAGTACTCACCCAAAAAATGCCTTGAGTTAAAGGTAGTACTCACCCAAAAAATACCCTGACATCACGTTAAAGGTAGTACTCACCCAAAAAATACCCTGACATCACATTACCTTTTTTTGGGACTCTGAACCAGTTTCTCGCAACTTGCGAAAATGAAAACCATCTTGGTTTACTGACACATAACGGTAAAAATGGATGGTTTTGCATCGTGTTTTAAAACACAGAACGTTTCTCTATAATTTGGAGCTTCAGCCTGCACTGGTCATGCGCCAGGAATTTGCCAAACAAACAGAAAACTGCAATCAGGCAAAGAATCCAGAAATATAAAGTTACTATTTAAATGCGAAGCATAAACACGGCAGAGTGCAAGACCTCTAACCAGAACCAGAGAGCCAAACAAAAACCCAGTGGGCCCAAGCAGTGGTAGTCATGAGCCAAAAAGGAACAAGTCATCAATTTCGACTAATGGGAAGGTATATCAGCGCAATAATAATAATGTGATTATCCTTACAATAGTATTACTAGAATTTATGGCTCATGGTTAATCACTAGCAAACTGATTCTTCATGCCTGAATGTGAGATCCCACCCAGACAGTAGCTCCTCTGCCTGATTTTTTCACTGCTTTACACAGGCAGAATAAGGCAGAAGTCAGTTTTAATGCAAAACGAGCAGCCAAGGTGGCAATTACAGCCGTCCTTTCACCTTCCGCTCCCCTGCAGTCTTCAAATGCGGCCCAGAGCACCGCATGAGCAGACGCGCATGGCCCCTGGGCTCCGATGCAGGTGTTGTGTAGGAATCTTTGTGCCCCCCCCCCCCTCCCGCACACACTAGCAAAGAGAATATTATAAGTCAGCATGCCAGTAAATTCAAAAAAGACCCGCTATCCTTCTCTAGGCAAGATCGGCCTCTTAACTGTCATTTTGCAGGATAATGTAATCTACCTGCTCAGATCTGCATTTCACTAGCTAGTCTGTCACTATCACGATAACTTCTGGCATAATCTCTGTGAACATGCTCCTTTTTCCGTATTTTCAGAATAAGGTAGCTGCTTTGGCGATGAAGTCGTAAGTGTTTATTGCCACGCAAATAATGAGAACATTACTGATAAACAAAAGTGATATGCGCACTATCGCAGACGTGCATTCAGGAAATCTGGGAACAGCTCTGAGCCCTGTTCCCGCTTTCCCGCGTGGGCCTGGATGTTCAGAAACACACGCCTAAGAGAGCTGATACGTGGCTCCATGCGTCTCTGTTTATGCAGGAATTTAATCATTTTGTTATTGTCCTGGACTAGTGAGACATTTTATTGTGGTTGGTTACCACGGTTACATTATTTTTGTTAACTGAATCAGCAGTTCTGCAGCAGAATCTGAGATAACGTTCAGTGACACTGAGATACCCGTGTGCTTGCTGTATCATGCCACGCGAGCCAGTAAGAAAAACCGGGGAGGGGGGGCGGAAAAGGACAGTAATAGGGGCTTTACCATGGGCAGCACAGCACGCAACATCATGGATGACAAAAACATGACACAGCTTCAGCTTCAGCCAGCGACATGAGAGGAGACTTCTCTCGCCGAGTGCAAAATGTAGGTCAGGTGTGCACACACCAGCAAAGCAGGAGAGATGCCCCAGGCTGAGGATTTCAGCATCGTCCGTCACCCATCTGCAGAGCAAACGCTCACCAACGCATGACGGCTTCGGGCATCCAGACCACGTCAACCCCAACGGGAAGAGATGGCATCGATCGGAACGGCACGCCCACGCCCATGAAGGAACGAATCACGGAAACACCGCACATCCTGTGAGGTGTTTCAGATGTTTTAATCATCCCCACGAACAGCTGAGACCCCCCCCCACCCCAGGGGCTGAACACAAGAGAGTCATGAGAAAATCCCCAGCAGGAGACAAGAGGCTCAAAGTGGGTCAAAGGGATGCTGCTGCTGACTCCAGCTGTGACTCATCCGGTCGCTCTGACGCACGATCGCTGACTCAGCCCTCCCTCGTACGCGGTACACAATAGAGAAGGGGCGGGGGGAGGGGGGTCCGTAGGTCTTCAGCATGCTCAGAAAGGCCACCAGCGCTCTGGTGAGAAGGCGCCGCGGATCAGGTAGCCTTCTCCTACCACACTTCATCACATCTTACAAGCCCAGTGACTCATGAGTCCCAGCGGACAGCAATAACACACCAGGATCTCACCCCCACATGTTCACTGTATCCCGTATCATACTGAATGGCTGATTTCTCTGCCATTTATTCCCTTTTAAGTGGTGTACGTTTTATCTAAAGGTACTAAAACTGACTTCTTAATTATTTAACAATGAATTTTAAGACTTTAAGACTATAGTTGATTAGACAATAGCAAAATAAGAACAAGGCCTAATTTATATGATTCTTGTAGCAGGTCACAATGAACCTGGAGCCAACGGCAGACAGCAGGTGCTCAGCCCAAGCTGCACAGGGTGTCAGTTTGTTGCAGAAGACAGACACACACAAACTGACTCATTACATGCAACTTCGAGGCATCAACTCACCCAATAACAAGCCTTGAGACTGTGGGAGGAAACCGCATCACCCAGGGTGAACACGCATACTCTACTCGCAGCGTGGATGGGATTTGAACCCACAACCATGCAGCTGTGCAGCAAAAGTGCCACCCTCAAAGCTACTGTGCCACGTCACGTTCATACATTTTACAATATTTTGTATTTACAGTTTACACTGGACAAGCAGCATTGAAATATCAGATTTTTTTTTTGCTTCAGAATTTTTCTAATGGTCCAGTATATTCAAGCCGTTTTATTTGTATTGATTGTGAGCCCAGCAGACTGTGAGATGCCTGGGCAAAGGGGCCATACGAGGATATCAGAGCCGCTCTCTTGCTCCAGGACCTTCACTGCAGTGGTGAGAACAGGAGCTCAGAAAGTGATACAGGAGAACAACCCCCCCCCCCACCCCCCCAAACACGGTGAGTAGATTTTTTCTCTCCTCCTCCGTATGAGGCTGGATCGTCCGTCGCTCTGGCATCGTGGCAGCCCTCTTCATTAAACCCCCCCCCC